AGAGAGAGAGAGAGAGAGAGAGAGAGAGAGAGAGAGAGAGAGATTTACTATTTATCATCATAACTTTAACAACATGAACAGTTCTTGCTAAAAAAAAAATCCTACTTGGCTTACGTTTGTTAGTAATATAGCAATGCATTTCTTGAACCCAGCATGAAAGCCTTTGTTTAATTAACTCAGTGCTTACTATTTTATCTCATCGTTACAAAAAGTCCAGTTTCATAGCAACAGTAAACAGCCTGCTGGTTACAGTAGTTACTGACATATTGACAGATGGCTCTTATGGCAAATAATGAAAAATATTTCTATTCCATCAAGCGCTTAGATACAAATTCTGAGACGCAGATTTTTGTTACAGCGTATTGGTCTACTGGAATACTTTTTAATTGGACTGTATTTTGGTTTTTGTGGGTTTTTCTTTTACATTTGTCAACTTTGTTGTTGAGCAGCAGAAAAAAAAGAATCAATGGCACCGAACAGTGAAAGGTGAAGAGTTTATGTTTTTTGCAGGAAGGAAAGCCTGTTCCTCATTTTTTCCAGCTGAGCCACCGCAATATTTGTTGGCATAAACCTCAATGAGCTACAATTACAGTAAATGCTGAACTTCAAAAAGTTCAGTGTATGGTAGTCATCTAAAGACAGAATGTATTCTAACTTATTCACGAATCCATATGCCACAGAAGTACTGAAAATGAAAAAGAACGAACTTGTGGAAGGCATAAAAAACCCCGATCACCTTCTGGACTGCCTGATAGAAAAAAGTATCCTTTCACCTGAGAAAAAAATGGTTTTATCCTACTATAGAACACGCATGGCAAAGAACTCCTGCATTTTGGATATCTTGGCTTCTCAAGGTGAGCGAGCTTGCAGACTTTTCTTTTATCCCTGCTTGAAAGAGGTAGAGCCCCGTTTATACAGCAATATCAGGAATTATGTGAGCAATGTGAATGAGACAGTTGGAGATGCTAGAAGACAACTGATAGGGTACCTCCTGGAAAAAGATAAAGGATCGATTCAAAAGGATAAGGCTTCACATCAAGGGAAACAAGCTAGCCCTAGATCTATTAAGCCAAAAAAGATGATTTATAATAAACCTAAATCAAAATCCACATTGGCAGCAAGGCAGTCTCTAGACAATGTTCCAACAGTCTTTGATTTGGTGAGGAAAGGAACTCTTTCCGATCTGGAAAAAGCCTTAAACCCGAGTAATGTGAATGCAACAAACTCTGCAAATGAGACTCTCTTACACATTGCTGCAGCTCATGGGCACACAGAAATAATTGACTATTTAATCAGCAAAGGTGCCAAACTAGAGGTCAAGGATAACAAAGGAAGAACCCCACTGCACAGAGCCGCTGAGAAAGGTCACGCTAAAGCAGTGAACAGGCTACTTCAAGCTGGGGCCAACATGTACAGTTTGGATCAAGAAGGCAAAACCCCCCTTCACTTGGCCAACCGGAACCAGCACACGGATGTCCTAAAAAACATCTTAAAAGAAGAGGCGAGACGGCACAGGAATCAGCACAACTTCCTGCACATGGCTGCTCTCAAGGATGACAGTGACCTAGTTCAAGTCCTTTTGAAAAATGGAGCTTTGGTTGATGCCAGGGATGAGAGAGGCCAAACGGCCTTGAGCTATGCTGTATCTCAGGGACATGAGAAGACTGTCAAAGTGTTGTTGGAAGGTGGAGCCAAAGTGGATTCCAGCATAATTGAGGCGGCCTTTAATAGCAACAACCAATCTCTCTTCAAATTATTGCTGGAATATGCCAGAGAATTATCATCTGAATCCATGGTATCATCCCTATTTAAAGCCATAGAAAAAGATCTGCATGGCATTGTGGCGGCTTTAATTGATAGAGGTACAGATGTTAATGTACGCAATGAAGAGCAGTACACACCATTGCTTATGGCATGTAAAACGGGGAAGATTAAGTCAGCCAAAGTTCTTATTGAGAAGGGGGCCAACTTGAAGGACAAGGCCCCTAACTTAAGCAGCCCCTTACACCTAGTGGTTGAAGCTGGGGCTTTCTCCATTGCACAGATGCTTCTGCAGAAGGGAATAGATCCTAACATCACAGCTCAAGGAAATCAAACACCCCTCCATGTTGCTGCAATATACAATAGAGGAGCGTTAGTTGACCTACTCATTGAAGGAGGAGCTAAAATTGATGCGGTCACCACAGACCTGTTCACGCCATTGCACCTGGCAAGTGAAAAAGGTCACACTGACGTGGCTCTAAAGTTATTGCAACATAAAGCCAATGTCCACCTCAAGAATAAGCGATCAAAGACACCTCTTCATCTTGCAGCTGAAATGGGGAATCCTGCAATGGTGGAGATGCTTCTGAATTTCAAGGCTGATCCAAATGCAACGGATAAAGAGAAAAAGTGTCCACTTCATTTTGCCACTTTGGGAGGCCATTTTTATGCAGTGAAAGCCCTGTTAGCTAAAAAGTCTAAGGTTGCAAGCAAAGACATGGATGGTTGCACACCAATGCATTATGCAGCTCTCAGTGGGAATGTGGAGATATTAAAAGAACTTTTGGTGACTGGCAATAATAAAAATATCAATGACAAAAATATTTGGAGAAAGACACTATTGCATCTTGCAGCCGAACATGGACACAGCAATCTGATAGATTTTTTGTTGAGCAACGGCTCAGCTATTAATGCCTTGGACAACAATAAAGATACCCCATTGCACTGTGCTTGCAAAGCTGGTCATTTTGATTCTGTAAGAGCACTGCTCAATTGGTCTGCAGGAGATAAAGCAAATCTGCAGGCTACTAATAGCTTGAAGAAGACCCCATTGCAAGTAGCAGAATCCAGTGTCACAGATCAGCAAGCTCAAATTGTTAATCTTTTGAAAAAGAAAATGTTACTGATAAAGTAGATTTGCAAAGAGGGTATTATAGATACACCTTCTACATTTAACTTAAGAGATCCAGTGAAAGATCTAATTAATGTAGGTATAGATTGGTAGTTTGCCCCAACCTGATGTCCTCCAGATGTTTAGGCTCATAGATTATACTCACCAGACTACTGCATCTTCTCAGTCAATCAATAGTTGGCTTTTCACTGCAGGATGAAGCATGTCTGTTTTATCTTTAACTGGCTCTTTTGAGAAAAAAAATATGTCCAGGTGGCAGTGGAAGGAGGATTGTAAATTTGATCTGGGGAGCAACCTTATAAAAACTTCTCATCTATTTATTTGCACAATCTGACTCACAACTCCAGACACAGCTAAGATTATGTTAAAGATACATCTTTCTACAATAGCAACAGTGTTCTAAGCAGATTACATTAAAAATACTGACGTTATTCTCTATAATGTTTACGTGCATCATACTATATAGAATAAGTTGCCTTCTGTAGGGCAGTTATACACAACTTGTTTTGTGATCATAGTAACAAACCTGCAAAATGCTATGCTGTAGGAATTTAAGACATTTTCTTCCTTCTAGCCTGTGTTCTTCTTGGTTTTACTCACTTCTTGCTTATGGTTTTGATCTAGCTCTAAAATTATTGCAATCATTAATTTCATTTATCTTGATTTATATGTACTGACCCATTCTATTTTTGTTAATATGGCATTGTTGTTTTTGAATGGACAATAGCTGCTCCAGGGATACAATTTTCAGAGAGGTGAAAGAGAGGTTATTGGCTTTAGTATAAATAAATAAGACTGCTTACACTATAGAGCTTGTAACTTTCCTATATTCAGCAATGAAATATAGATATTAGCTGGCGGTATTCCTATAAAATGTGTTGATGTTAGCACCAGTATAGCACAAGATAAAGTTTTATTACTAAACATATTAACACATAAATGGATATGATCCAGAGTAAACCTGGAAGCTAGTTACCACATTACTGTATTAGATAAAAACATTTTTGTTTAGAATCCAGAAACCGTAACGGAATGCGTTTGATAGTTTAAACACAAAGCATTGCCATGCATTTTATATAATGGAAACATTATTATATTAAGTGTTTTGAAACTTGTTCTTAATAAAGCCAAATTGTAGTGATGGTGCCTTCTACTCCCTCTGTATTGTAATTTATTACACATATGTGTAATACACACTCTTATTGTTGACAAACTCAGGAAGTTTTACACCAGGTTTTCAGGCAATTAAGGAAATATTACTTAATTTTTCTTTTCTTTAGGACAAGAATGCCTCTTATTTCACACCCTAACTTGGAATGATTTACATGGAAATAAAACCCTATACACGTAGTCCTCGACTTACAACAGTTTATTTAGTGACAGATCGAAGTTACAACTGCACTAAAAAGAATGACATGATTTTTTTAACATGTAACAATTGCAGCATCCCCAATGAATGAAATTTTGGGTTCAATTGTGGTCCTAAGACTACCCATATATTCTTCTAAATAATCGTCAGAAGTCTGCTGGTAAAAATCTTCAACTGTGAGGTCCTGGGTGTTTTCTGAGCTTGGCTATTTTCTTGCAGACATTTCATTACCAAATAGATAACATCATCAGTGTCAGTAGGGAGGAAGGTTTGCTCTCATTTTATATTCTAGTGGCTTGCCCTGTCAGTGTAGGTGGGAGTAGTCTTGGTGGTTCCTTGATTGGGCTGTTGGTTACTGTTTGCTTGTTTGACAGTTCCTTCACTGGGGCATTGTTTGCTTCTTCATTGTTGGTTAATCCTGATGTTAATCACTGTTCATCTGGGTATTGATTACTAGTGAGGTGGTGTTTTGGTCTTTTTTTTTCCTTTTTGGCTTTTTGTGTCTTTTGAATAGTATGTAGATGTTGTTTACTGAATATCTACGTGCCTGTTGTTCAAGTGGCAGACTTCCAGGAATTCTCTAGTGGTTTTGGACTTGGCCACTTCAATGCAGATGCCGTAGCTCTGTACTATGATAGTCTCTGAGCTTTTAATGAAACACATTACCAGCCTAAACTCTTATTCAGTTAAAGCACAAATTCTTAGTTCAGGACACAGTACTTCAGAACTTTGGCTATAGCTACATATGATTGCTTTAGTGTAATAGAACAATTGTATGCATATGATTGACTATTGCACATTTACCAACACTTTTTAAAAGCTTTTCAAGTACAACAGAGCATGTTCGTTACTATAATCTTGCTTGTCTTTCACTAAAGCTAATGGAACTAATTTTCCTTCCAATTGATCTTCATATTATGCTGGCCCTGCTAAGAACGGTAAAGAGATTGGAAAGTCCCTATAATTTGCTGCCTTCGCTGCTTAGCTGCCTGCCAGTCACTAAACTGCACAGGCAAAGGTGAGTGGAAATTTAATGGGCTATAGCTGTGATGGCAAACCTATGGCACACGTGCCAAAGGTGGCATGCAGAGCCTTCTCTGCTGGCACGTGTGCTGTCGCCCCAGGTCAGATCTCCATGGTGTTTCTTTTGTGAGCTTCTGTTTCCCTGCAAATGTTAAAATAGAAGCTCACGAAAGAACTTCTTGCTGTGCTGCTGGTGTTGGGATGCCCCTCTTCCCGCTGTTCAGCTGGTCTTCGGGTCTCTGCTGCAAATGTGCGTGCATCCACACATGCGTGCAGGCATGTTCATGCATGAGTGCATTTGCACATATGCACACCTTTTCGTTTAGGCATGCGCGCATGAGCAGTTTGGGCATTCGGTGGATAAGAGGTTTGCCATCACTGGGCTATAGCATACTGCCCTCTGCTTGGGTGAAGAAGTACATAACCACGTCAGAACATTCTTCCCTTTGCTTGTGTGCCCAGAGGAAGAAGAGATCTCTTTCACCGGGTTCTCTAATCCCGTGGTTTGGGAGAAGTGGCAAATGAAAGAGAAACCCATTTTTTAAATCTGCCAGATCTCCAAATCCCTAATCCTACAGACAGGGCAATGTGTGGGCTTTGAAAGAGCCACATGTCCCAGCAGGCCTGGGCTTTTGCATGCTTCAGAGGTGGGAGAAGGGTTTGTGCAATGTGTACAGAATAGAACCACTCTGATTCTAGGCTTTTTAGGCCTCCAAATTTGATAAATAAGATCAACTGGGTTCCATTTGAACACAAACTTTGCCCTGTCTCTTTTTTTAATGTGAAATGTGTTATAAAGAGTCCAGAGATAAGGGAAGCAGCTTCATGGTAAAGCAGCAAGAGTAAGGTGACCAGATTTTCAGATTGGTAAAGAGGGACATCATTGACCCAGGAAGGGGGGGGGGGGCTTGAATAAAAATTTTATAGGGAGCAACAAAAATTACATGACTCCAGGACACTGAAACCATCATAAATACGAATCTGTTGCCAAACATCAAAATTTTGATC